CGGCCCTGCGGTAAAGTGCAGTATCTCCTGACACTCCCGACATCCCATACTTTTTTTTTTTTTTTTTTTTTTTTTTTAACTCCTTTTGGACACTGGTAGGAGTGATGATAAGAGCATACACTCCTACCAGCTCCATTAGGGACTCCAATCTATTGGTGGGGAGCTACACCTGCTGGAAAACGGGTCCAACGTCCCTTGACAATTGATGATGTACAATTGAACCTGGTAATGCTGGGAAACGGGCCCCGCGTCCCTTGTACCTCTTCACCCTCATATGAGAGGCGCCAGATTACTCAGCCTAGACCTGGTACTAAAATGAACATATGATTCAACTCTTCCCAAAAACAACAGGCATATAATGCATATAATACCTCCTATAAACCATACCACGAACTAGGAACAAGAGCAGATGCAGGGGGGGGGAAGGGATCTGGGAAATCCGATAAGGGGCGCATAGGGACTGAAGCCTCAATAGAGGTCCAATCCTCAAAAAACAATTTATAGTCCCTTTTGAGACCAGCATCATCATCATCCCTTGCCCCATTCCAACAGACTCTCCCTATTCTCCTCCCCTGGATTCCGCCCAACCATTTACTTGTGAATTTTCGAAAGTGATTCTGGATTTCCGTTTTATCTGAAAGAAATTTCACTTTTTCTCTACATTACCTGATCGGATGTCTGGGACCCCCTGACCGTCCGGGACTGTCCGATCGGACAACCAGTCGGCCGTCCGCCGGGGGCCCGACGTCCGATGAAAAAAAAAAATTGGGGGGGGTCGAAAACGAGGCCTAGGGAGGCCTAGGGGTGGGCTACGTGAAGAGGGGAACTGTGGGCGCCGACGGGAACATTTTTCGGAGGCCGGTAGGGCCTCCAAAAACGAAACACAAAACGGCCCAATCTGGGCCGTCCGATCTTCGAGATCGACGACCCAGATTGAGTTATTTTGAATTCGAAATCGGGCGCCCTTCGCGCTCTCCCCCGCGTGTCTTCGCCCCCGCGCTGTCGCCAGAGTTCGGTGTTGTCGTTGCCGAACTCCGACGTCGACGGCCTCAACCCCACGCGCCATCGCCCGCCCACGCCAGGTGAGCCAGCTCGTCCATCGTCAGACCCTCCTCCTCTTCTTCCTCCTCCTCTTCTTCCTCCTCCTCCTCCTCTTCTTCCTCCTCCTCCTCCTCCTCCTCATTGACCGTGGCCTTCTACTCCTCCTCCTCCTCTTCGTCGTCCTCCTCCTCCTCCACCTCCTCCTCCTCTTCTTCCTCCTCCTCCTCCTCATTGTCCTCCTCCTCCGACGTCAACGGCCGCAACCCCACGCGCCGTCGCCCGCCCACGCTAGGTGAGCCAGTTCCTCCATCGTCGGACCCTCCTCCTCTTCTTCCTCCTCCTCTTCTTCCTCCTCCTCTTCTTCCTCCTTCTCTTCTTCCTCCTCCTCCTCTTCTTCTTCCTCCTCC